CCTGTGTTTCAAGGACACCCACCCTAAACAAAAGTAATTCACAATGTATGCATCAGCTTGTGTCAAATGTATACATGTATTTTCTTCTCTTTTTAAGCACTCAAGAAAAAGGTCGTCTTTGCCTCCAGCCTTACTAATCAAAACTGCTGTCGAGCAATGAACTGGATTGAGCTGCAGGCTTTAATTAGGTTTGGTTTGTTGGGTCAGAGTTCTTGATGTTTTATGCTACCACTACATCTTTGGTGACAGGACCTTCTTTTTTACCGAAATACTAATAAAAGTTATTTTACAGTTCAAGGCAATAACCTGTGGGCAGAAGCCACTGAGACATATTAAAATAAATTAAAATAAACAGGCACTTGCCAAAGTTGTCACTGATAAGGGAGAAGAGCAGCAGCAGAATTAGAGGTCCTTATATAAGGGAAAGACTTCCATAATAAGATCACTAGGGAATGACCCATTTCTGCCTTCCATCTAAAAAAGCACAAGGATTGAAAATAGAGAATGCTCAAAACAACAAGCTGAAGAATATTTTGTATCCTTCTACTGGATTTAACAAAAAGGATTCATTAGTATAGCAGCTCAGTGGAGGAAAAAAATCAGGTTATTCTACTTGTTTTACAGAGGAGGAAACTGAGGGCTTGTGACTCATGGAGGATTTTGGCAGAGAGCTTTTTTTTTTCTGGAGCTGAGATCCTCTCTTCTCCACAAGCAGCCCCCAGTTTAAATGATCATGCTTACTTGCATGGATTGCGTGAATTTAATAATGGTCTTATTTTATGATGTAGAAATAGTTTTATTATAATTGTTTAAATAGATGCAATTTAATGTTTTCTGTTTCAGTATCAGGAATTCTTACCTTCACTGCTGTCATTTATTGTTATCTCAAATCATTCCAATCCCTTTGCAATATTGATCTACTGGGTGTTACACTCTTGCTTCTCTTTTCCCATCCCAAACATTGGTCACCTGTGAACAACAATACTTTAATCACACGTTTTAAACAACAAAAAAGTGACCTCTAAAGAATACTGTTCTGGGATTCAGAAGGAGAAAAACCAATATACATTCAGTTTATCATTCTGAACAAAGGGCATTGTTAAAGAAGATAAAGCATGGATTCTCCTTAGATGGTCAGTGCAAAGACTGATAGCTTAATCACAATAATATAGGAAGAAAAATACTACTTGCAGATTCCTAATGCTTCTATTTGTATTCAGTGTGCTAGCAACATAGTTATAACCCACTGTGCCAATAAAATTACTGCAGCTGGACTTTTACTCTGTCTCTTTCACTCGCACTCTTGAAAAAGCAAGAAGACAGAGAGGAAATGCCCCACAGAAGATCAAGCCACAGCTTCTGCAGAAATAAATTGCAGACATACATTGACATCCTTTCCTTTGGTTTAGTTTGTTACTGACAGACAAAATGCTGAACTCTAGTATCTTCTTCTAACTGCATCTCCTGCAGTGCAACAGCAGAGCGCCCACGTGCTATTCATAATTGACACCATGTTCTGTCATAGGGGAGAACATGTAGATAAGCAAACATCAAAATATCACAGGCTTTTTTTTTTTTGTGTGCACACTATATTGTACTTAGAAAGGATTTGAAACACTCTAAAAGTGAGGTCCAATTAAAATTTTCAGTTGAAAATCTCTTTTAAAATGCAACGCTTCATTTATTCCCTGATCAGAGAACAAGCCCTTCAGGATGTCAAATCTCATCACAGTTCCTCTTTCCTTTCCAAGCCTTAGACACATCAGTTTTTCTCAGGCTAATATACATTTCTGTGGGAGGCATGGGTAAATTGTGAGAAATATTTGAAAACAATTTAACTGTTATAGCTAACATAGTTTATTACTTTCTGTAAGGATATTGTAGATTAAGCAAGTGGTCACAGCTGCTGATTCCTCATTTCTCTAGCTCACGGCTTTGAATTCCCCATCTTCTTTCTCATCTCAGGGACTAGACTCTCCTGCTTTTTTCTCACTCCTGCAGACACTTTATCTCAGTTTTGCCTTTATTATCTCCTGGGAACGGGCATTGCAGTCCCCTTTTTTCTTTTCATGGCTAATTCCCTGCCTTTCCTACTAAATTAGAATATGATCAAATCCATCTCACATTTTACTGTTTTTCCTCCCACTCTGTGCCCATGCTTTCCAGCCACCTGGGAGCTGACTCCATATTGGGGGACTGTGTGACAGACACCCTGTCATGTCCTTCAGTGTGGAGCAACACAACATGACGTGCTGGTGTTTAGTCAGGGGACCTCACTGTGACTCTCTGACAGATTCCCTGGGAGCTGGAGCACCGGGACAAGAGGAACACTCCAACCCTTGGCAAAGCTGTACCTTTCTCACCTGCAGGTGTTTGCCATGGCATTGCATCTCAGAGATACAACTTGCCCCTACCAGTCTGGTAGGATGAAATTCCCAAATCTGTTTAAGTGGAGAATTTAAATTCAAAATCTCTCCACATACACGATGAAGATGATACCTTGAAGTGGTATGCAAACAAAGAAATATCCAGTATTATTCTGAAAAAAAACCACAAAATTTTCAGAAATAGATACTTCACTGGGAATTTCTGATCATAGTTATATGTCAGGCAACCTTTTTAGTTTTGCAGCTCTAAACTTAAAAGATTATTTTAAAACACCTTGTCCATAAAGTGCACCATAATAACTAAAACATTATTAGTGAAAGCTACTTTTAGTATTGAGATTTTCTTCTATTTTGCTGTACACTGAACTCCAGGACACAGATTTCATGTGACGTTCGTCCTCTGAGGGGTGATTTAGCCTTTAGTTTTAGTGGTTTAGTTTATGTATTTTTATTTTCCAAGGATCTTCTTTTGCTGCCTTTTCCAGTTTTTAAATGACTTGAATGAGTAAGCATACTTTAACTAACAGACAAATGTAAAAATGCAAGCAAACATTTACAAGTACCTGTGATAAGCACGTGCCCTGACTTTTTTCTACCTTGCACCTATGATATTACCATTGTACAGAAATCTACTCTTTGCCTACACGCAAATTGACTTCCAGGCTACCTAAAATCTATGGAAATTTTCCCAAGATTTTACCTGGACTGTTTTTCTCCTTTGTGAGACTGCTGCTGCTTTATTAAATTACACAAGGATCGGTCCCCAGGCATGACAGCCACAGCAGACACAGTGAGGGTGAAGAACGGAGTCAGACCACTTCTCTAAGCAGTACCATTTATGATGCTGCCTTAAAGTAGACAGGAAGCTGCAAGTCACCAAAACAGCTTTTTGTCAACTTTTTTTTTTGCTGTTTCAAGGCCAGTGAGTTTCCAGTGGATGTGCAGATGTCTGTATGCCAGCCATAAGCTATACTAAGGATAAATCCACAAGTCTACAGATGACAGGCTGAAAACTGTTGGACATGGTCCGATAGGCAAGATTATTCAAAATTATGAACTTACATATGTGTTTATGCTCCCATGTCCAGTTTCAGAGGAAAGAGCATATGATACCGTTAACAGTAGAAACACTCTGCAGGCACCAGCCCCTACCATTATGTGGGTACATTAGTAACTATTTAAATTGGAAGTGTTTCTATGAAGGAATTACTAAGCAAGGGATGGAGACTATGATAAAAAAAAAAAATTCATTAAAAGGCTGGCATTAAAATTTGTAAGAATAAAAAAGTGGCAATTAAAGTCTGAACAAATATGCTGTAAATAGTTTTCTAATTAAATTTACATAAATATCCTTTCTCACAACTAGGCTGACAAGAAGCCAAGCTTTAGGCTCAAGAAAACAAGAAGGGAGAGCTTTGCTTAGCAGCTGATATGATGATCTTCACAATGACACTTGGTGCCTTTAGGTCCCATCAGCTGTTTCTACAATGTTGGGCAGGAGCTCTGCATGGTGTCCTCAATTTTATTCTCAGTTTTCCTTGCCAAGGAAGCCTTCGTGAATTGAGGGAAGACAGCTTCTGTGTAGCTGGGATGTCAGAAAATGCACCTAGGAGACAGGACTGGGGAGTTCCTCTGGATCTAATTTCAGTCCTGCAGGTTCCTGCTCCTATCATGAATGAAATGTGTCACTGGTGAGCTCTCTACATTCAGGAAATTTTGTTTAGGTTTGGTACATAGTGGCTGTTTCTTGGCTGGGCTGGTTGCACTTTCTTGAGATGAGTTTCTACTGCTTGCTGAGAAGAAAAAATCAATGCTCAGATTAGGAGACTGATGAAACAGTTTCTGCCTTGAAGTGTCTGTTGCACCCTTGAGTCCTGAGGTAATCATATTTTTGTCCTTATTATTTAGCTGCGAAAGACTAGCATGGTTCATGGACAGACCTATGGGATTGTCCAGATAATATCTTACTAACTGTACAAGACAAGAACAGGTAGGAAATATTTGTTAGTGGTTTCCTCAGTTTCATCCCAGTAAACCACTTACAAAGCAAGGAATGGCAACACTTTGAGATTCTTAATGCTTCAGTGTCA